ACAGAAAAATAAAGTACTTTCAAAATATAAATAGATAAAGATAAGAAGAGAAAGCTGTGCAGAAGAACGTGGGTGCATTAATGTAATGCATACTTTATATACAGGGTGGGTATAAGAGTCAATGACAGTGGGTAATCCGGGCCTTGTTAAGGAGGCCGTTGAATGAGTGTTTTGGTGTCCACATAAACAGCGGAACACTTTGCCTCTCATTCTTTAAATAGTTTCAGCTCAAAATGAATAAATAAAGAAAACATTTTCTTGCAATAACTGATCACAGTAAATAAATCCCACTATACCAACCTGACCAAAAATTAGAGTAAGAAAGCTTTGTAGTGTGCATATTTGATTCAGAATCAAACAAAAGCGCCCCTTGCTTGTTCTTTATTTTTATTTTTTGGCATTCTTTGGCATGTTTTTATTGTATACAATAACAATTCACAAAAAAGACAGAAGTCACATTTTTAATATATCGCCTCCTAGTGGAAATTGTAGTTTCCTATACATAATTTAAGTAAAGAAGGATAAACACTATTTATAGGCCAATACCTCTATAAAGTCACAGTAAATAATAAATAAACAATAAATCACAGCAGTTCAATTAATAACATATTCGGCTTTTTATCAGCAAATACCAACAGACTTTTATTTTGAAACGGGTTTTGAATCGCAACCCGGAAGTAAATAAACTTCACGTGTTGGTGTGTGTAGAAATGTCTACCGACGTTGCAGTGAAAAGACCCAAAATGATGTCCTCTCAGGTAGTACAACACTGCTGTGAAACATAACGATGACATTGTGCTTTCCTTTATATCCTACATAATGTGTTTCTTTGTTTTTACAGCCTGAGGAGAAGGTGGACTGGAAGAAAAGGAAAGGAGAAAGTGAGTAATGAGCGAGCTAATGCTACATGTAGCTCACAGCTTCCAGCTCAGTTTGAGTTGATAAGTCTCTGTTCTGTCTTTTATTCGCTTTAATGCTCAGTTACAGTGTCTTTGTTCAGCAGTGAATGTGTGCATAGTGTTTGTTTTACATTATTGTATTGTAACAGCTCAGTATTTGTTTTCATATAATGTATTAACATGTTCGACCACAGCATTAATGTAGATTTTTTTGGTCATTTCTCAACAGAGTAGTTTCATGTAATCTTCATACATTGAGCTGAACTTTATTTAGGGAGTTTATTAAATAATACATATAATATTATTTAGGGCTTAGACACCCCATATTCTTAGACAAGTGGTTCCCAACCTGTGTCAGAACTGAGTCACAAGATGATTAAAGAATTAAGAGAATAACTTTTTAAATAAATTTTTTGCAGTTAAAACCCAAAGATATTCAGTTTACTATCACATAAGAAAAAGAAAAAGAGGCAGATCCTCACAACAGACTCGTCTCAGCTCTAAATCCTTCAGATAAAATCTGATTTGAGGTCACTCTGTGTGTCACACACATTATATTTAATTTTTTTACAAATGTTATTGATTCTTCCTCAATAACAGTAAAGGAGACTCAGAAGAAAAGAAAAGAGGCCAAGCTCATCAAAGAGTTGGAAAAGCAGAAGCAGCATGAGGCTGCAGAGAGAGCAAAACTTGAACAAAGCCATAACAAAAAAGGTAACCTTACTGCATGGATTGCTCTCAGCCGTCATACCTGTTAATAGAGTGCTGTAATGTGTGCTCTGTACATCTTTTTCTTAGGTCGGGCTTACACAGTGAGCGTGGCCCTGCCAGGTTCTGTCCTGGACAACGCTCAGTCCACTGAACTTCGTACATACCTGGCCGGTCAGATCGCCCGAGCCTGTGTCGTGTTCTGTGTTGATGAGATCGTTGTGTTTGATGAACAAGGGGAAGATGTCAAGTAAGTTTAATTAAAGAGGCACAGTTTATTGGGAAACACTTCCTAAACCATCACAAAGCTAATAGAAACGATTTTGTTTTATTTCTTTGTTGCTCAGGAGCGTTGAAGGAGAATTTAAAGGTGTTGGAAAGAAAGGACATGCTTGTATTCAGCTTGCCAGAATACTCCAGTACCTGGAGTGTCCCCAGTAAGTAGGAACGTATTGTAATCGGATCAGCACCAGTATCGGCACATTTTATCAGACTGTGTTTACAAGCTTTTCTTCTCCACCAGGTACCTGCGCAAGTGGTTTTTCCCAAAGCATCAAGATTTACAGTATGCAGGTAACGGTCCAGATTTCCTTTTCATACATTCAGTAACAGCTGGGGGTTTAAAAGTCTGACACAGACAAAACTGACACAACTGCACCCCCAAATTTGGAGAATTGGCTATTAGGAGCTTCTGTATGTAATGTACCCACTGATTTACAGATAACTATCACTCACCGGATTACTTTGTTACTGAAGAAAACGTACCTTTTTAAGCAGATTTGTGGATGTTTATTTGCAATGGATTATCGGAAGTAATGCTATCCTTGTTTGTTGGTTTAGTTTAAGTCGCACTGAATCTTAAAATATGTTTATGTATGTACGTTGAGATTTATGTGAGTTGTGACAGAGAGTAAGTACCTTAATTTCCTCTGTTTTCTAACAAGATGTATGTAAATTCAGCCATCTTCACTACCGTTGGAGTAAAAGGGCAAAAACAACACAACGTTTAAATGTTACATCATCTCATCTGCAGTTTTTTCAAACACTAGGAACAAAAGCAACCTGTTTTTTGTGTTTCCTCCTACACAAGAGTCATAAAAGACTATTGTTGTTGTAGTGAATCAGTATATAAATACAGTGTACAGTGACTGCAGTGTGATAGTTATTTTAATACTATATCTATGTAGAGATTAGGTATAAACAGACCCTTAAATGAAGGCAAAAGAAGACACATTTTCACTTACTTAAGTCACTGGGTTTTTTTTTCCTACCAGGTTTGCTTAACCCTTTAGACAGTCCTCATCACATGAGGATGGATGATGAATCAGACTATCGGGAAGGAATAGTCCTCGACAGGCCGACCAAACAAGGACAAGGCTCATTAGTCAACTGTGGAATGAGAAAGGTGAGCATGTCTTAATAGATGTCTGTCATCATGATGTGGACACTGAAAGATATTGTTGTCATTTAAAGGAATACAGACTGTAGGGCTGCAAATAACTTAAATTAATTGATTATAAAATGCCAGGAAACAGTTAAAAATGTCTTGTTTTGTGCAACTAACTGTCCAAAACCCAAATATATTTAGTTTACTATCATAACAGACAATGTTTTTTCAATTTAAGAAGTAAATTCTTGGCATTTGTGATTTAAAAATTACCCAAACAATTAATTAATATGAACTGTATCAGATTATTATTCCGTTGATCCGACTGAACTTTGTCCATCTGCTCTCACAGGAGGTTCGGATTGATAAACAGCTGCAGTCTGGACTTCGAGTCACAGTACAGCTCAGGAAGACACAGGCTCAAGGTAATTCAGATATCACACCTTTTGATTGTTTTATGTATATTTACTCTTTTCTTATTGCGCTCAAGATTCTGCACATCAGTTCAGTGTGTTTGTGTCCATCTGTCCCTCCTCAGAGAACAAACTACATAAAGGTGTGGTGGTGGCTCCTCACGTTCCCCGGACTGAAGGAGGTCTCTACTGGGGTTACAGTGTCCGCCTGGCATCTTGCCTCAGTAGGTTTCCTATGCTCATGATACACTCCTATAACTCAAACATGTGGCTCCAGGCTTGGCCCTGCTGTGAGTGCCTTATACTTATTGCTTGTCTGTCTGTTAATGCAGGTGCAGTTTTCACAGAAAGTCCATATGAAGAAGGATACGATGTGACCATTGGCACATCAGAAAGGGGCCACAACATCGACCAAACCACGCTGTCACCTTTCAAGTAGGTTCAGAGCCAGTAAGACGGGAGGGGAAGTCAAAGACCGCTCTTTCTAGTGCGTCATTCTAGTGATTGGCAATGTTGGTCTGGCACTTGGTCTTGTCTAAAAGATTACCATTTTTAATTAAATACTATTATGGATTGCCATAAAATTTAGTACAGACATTTATGTCCCCCTCAGGATGAACTGTAATAACTTTGGTTATTCCTTAACATTTCCTCTTGAGCCTCCAAATACCTGCTAAACTAATGACATTCCCATCAGCCTCAGCTGTACTTTGTCTTTAGTGCTATTTAGCAAATATTAGCATGCCAACAAGGTAAACTAAGCTGGTGAACATTGGGGTGCTGACATTCTGATGTTAGCATTAAGCTCAAAGCACTGCTGTGCAGCCTCACAGAGCTGCGAGCATCGCTGTACACCCCTACTTTTACACCATTAATTGTATTTTATCGTTTTTAATTTAAACTGGACTTTTCCCTACTTTTTTAGGCATCTTTTGGTCGTTTTTGGAGGCCTTCAGGGATTGGAGGCCAGTGTAGATGCTGACCAAAACCTGGATGTCAGTGACCCCGGTGCTTTATTTGACCTTTACCTCAACACATGCCCTGGCCAGGGCAGCAGGACAATTCGCACTGAGGTGAGGGAATATTATAGGACACAATTAAGTATTGTGTGACAAGATAAAATTACTCTTTGTATAAGCAAATGCCTTACAGCAGAAAACCTCTTTCTGCTCACCAGCGTGTTCATTTAGTGTTTCCTATTTTCCTTTCAACAGGAGGCAATCTTAGTCTCCATGGCGGGGCTGAGACAGAAGATCACAGCTGCCTTTTCAGACGTGTCCAGTGATTTATTAAAGAGTTAGCAATGGAGCAAGGTAAACAAAGTCATGCTGGCAGACATTTTATCATCTTACTGGCGTTCACTATGAAGTTGTTCATTTTCCATAACTGGACCTTTTTTTTTAGCATTTCTTACTGTTAAAACAGCTTGTACCTCAAACATCACATCAGTGCATTGTATGCACCTGTTGTTGTTATTTAGTCTTCATTCTGTGTGTCTTTGTTTTCTAAATGGCTCAACAAATTGTACATATTTAAATACAAATACTATCCACAGACTGAAACTGACTCGTATTGTATTTTTCAAAGCATATAATTTGTTTTTCGATAAACAGTACAGAGCTTTTCATGAAAAAACAGTGTTGAGACCAGCACAACATGGACAGACAAATGGCACTGAATTGCTGAGAAAGATTTTTACCAATAAACACCAGTCTACTTAAGGGTTTGTGAGCGAGTTGGCCAAACACATGACTGCATTAAGATAAAATTGGTGAAATCTGAAAATTGAAAGATTTTGTAGTACAAGACAACAGGCCTCTCAGATTGTG